CGTCCAGACCCCGGTGCCGAAAACAACACAGGACGCGGGAGTCGGTGTGCTGACATGCGCAACACGTTGTTCAGCCATCGGATCCTGGTGCGTGACATAACGCAGCCGAGCGGTTGATTCGCTGATCCTGTACCAAATAGGAAACGTCGAACACGCTCACTGCTCACACGGCGTTTCCGCCAGACATGAGCTAATCTGCAAACACAGCGATGATAGAAAGCAATTGGTCTCTTTATCTCTGTCAAATTGACGTACCAATGCTCAAAACTGCACAGGAGGATTAAAGGCACGGTTAAGTTGTAAACTATGCTCTTTAGAGCGAGAGCGATGCCGTGTCGGCGCCACAGGTGGCGAAGAGTAGCAAAAGCGCCTCCAGCTTTTGCTATACGGTTCATGACCTCATCTTCTATTTCATAAGCGCTAAGATAGCTGCAGATATACATGAATTTTTGGATGACTTCTAGTCGATACACACCAAGGATCACTATAGGGGTAGGTTCATGACAATATCGGAGGAGGATTTGACATATCGAGGGTGCATGGAATTACAAGAAGCGATTGACAGCCAGAGATAATTTGTCCACTGCTGGATGGCATCTTTGGGAGCCGTCGCAGATTAGGTCAATGTCGTCGGCAGAGTCCAAGTCAAGGAGTAGATCACCTCGGAAAGGTTACACACCTTGTACATCGTGTCCAGTGAGCACAGTCACCATGAGTTCATTGATGGCATATAAAAAGGCCCGAAAAATTAAGTTAAACCGGTGATTGCCTGTTTGATTTTAGGCCACACAAAAAGCGGCAATATTGGATTCAAATATTCACGCTAAGCGCATATAAAGGTGGCCTGAGAGATGAATCAAAACGGTGATGGATTGCTTGCTTTTAAGTCACATCGGCGCATTAACAGGAGGGCGTGGAAATGCAGAAAGCTTTAGGAGAACTACCACGCATGGAATCAGGTCCCCAAGTGATGGTTTAACTAATGACTACATTATACTAACCTAAACCATTGACTACATACATCTCTCTTGGAAATCTGCTGCAGACCTTGTTCTATTTGAATGTATTTGTTCTTCTACTGTGGTTGTAATGGTGCAACATGATTGTAAAATCCCGAGCATGCTGGAAGACGCATATCTTGTGAAAACAATAATAAACATTTTTATTTTATTACTAAAAAGGAAGGATGATAGCGCGCAACATTGTCGCACGCCGTTGGATATATTGAAGGGTAGCGGCAGATCGCCTTAACTACGAGCATGTAACGTTCTTATGACATTTACATAATTATCGGGCATATCTTTCCTGAGTAAAGGCCCATCGACCGCAGTGACTTGCCAATCAATATGGCGGTGTTCAAACAACTGACATTAAGTAAATATGTGATCAATTCAGCACCGATTTTGACGAAAGCCGGTGTGCTCATTGCGAATCTGGCCTTCAAAGGTGTCCATTAGTCTATGGAGAACGATAGACGCAAAAAATTTAAAAACAATTGTGAGCAGAATGATCACTCTATGAATGCCGCATTCTAACCGTGAGCTTCCCTTGAAAACTGGGTCTATAGCATAGTGGCTACCGTTAAACTAGCTTCCCGAATACGTTGTGCAAATCATCCACAAGAGCTTGTTCCACGAATTTGAAGAGAATCGGAGCAAACCAGTTTGCTCCTGAACCTTAATCAATTTCTACAGTCCGATCTAACGTTCGATTTCTGCACATGACAGCAGATCCAAGTGGATAGCACAAGTAGAAGAACGATCAATGGCCGTTAAGGAAGACGGCAATTGACAAGGTGCCTACCTGTCTATCACCCACTACCTCGTCCATACTAGCTCTAGGAGAAAGTGGGTCGCTGCTGGAGGGGACGAGGTGCACGGTCCTTGTGGCCGTATTAGGATCAAAGAGTGGTTCCATGCACTCAGTGTGGAACGGACTACGGTCCAGCCACCGCATTGTGTGTGCTTGATTCCCAAATACAGTGTGCTTGTGTTTGCCTGTGAAGGAGTGTGGGCCGGCTCCATTGATGAAACGTGGTTCCCATCCGCATGCCTCCCGGTCTTATCCCTTCGGGTTTACACTGGATATGGGGTGTGTGGATGGAGCTATGGGTGGTGCAGCGCAAGCCATCCATGGTCCCTCTGTAGGCGCAGGCGTCCTGTGGCTTGCCACAGTGACAAGCAAATCCGAAACCGGATGCCGCCAACCGATTGGTTGTTTAACCTGCTTTTCAAAGTGTTCGACTTAACGTTCCAATTACTTTGACAAGCTGTGGAATGGCTGTCCACTCTCATCGCATATAGCCTCGCTAACATCATGGCTCTTGCTGTCCGTTTCCCGTATCAAACGAAACAACTTCTGATGGTTACCGTGGATAGCAGCCATTTCCATATCGGATGCACGATAAGAGCCCCAGGTTGCACGGTTTTTCTTCAGGCTAGCACGCAGTTTCGCCCTAAGATGTTGGCAAGTCTCGCTGGGTTCGCTTCCAGCCGGAGTGCCTCAAAGAGCACCGAGATGTACTGGAGACTGTGGAGACCCAATATACAGATTGGCAATTTGAGTTGCCACATGAAGACATGCCTGCTGTTAGTAACATCTGACGGACATACAACCAGTGATCTTTAACTTTGTTCAGTGAGCACTTACTCAGCTTGGATGCCAGCGTAGTTTAATAACCATTCAGAACATTTGACTTCGTCAGTTGGCAAGGATCTATGCTCTTACAGCGCCGTTCCGAACGTTCGCCGAAACTCATCCTTAAGTCGTCACATACAAGTAGCTGATTGGGGTCCACTCTTGTGCTCCAAATCGAGTGACAATTTTGGAAACATCCTCTCCAGCAGTAAATGATCGCGATGTGGTCGATTTGCGTCCATAACTGGTTCGAGGCTTGTGCGCGTGTAACATCGGGAGTTAGTGCTCGCAAGTAGACGAGTATCTCCACATAAGTGTAACTAACGGTCACTATAACCATAAAGGGAGCCTACACCGAGTTGTGAGCCCAGATGTAGTCAATCAGAGGACAGCTTTTCAAGTTGGACATTCAGATTACCGGCCAGCACTAAAGTACTTCTACTTTAACGAAGGTGCGGGTTCACTTAGGGATAGAAGTCATTTTTCGCCAAGTCAATGCTACAGTTTGTGGGGGCGCAGACCGCATTGACAAACAGGCACCGTTTGACCTCGCGCGACTTTGAAGTTTAGAAAGAACCAGCCAATCTGACAGCGCATATCCGGCTGTTGCTTAGGATTCAGTCAACTAGAGCAGCTTCACTCAGGGGACTCGATGCAATGCCCACAACGGCTCGACCAGTATTTGAGGCTGCGTTATCTTTAGACAAACGCAGTGTGAAAGTGCCACCCACGTCGCTTGGAGGGGTGCAGTGCTCGAATCCTGCAGGCGAGTTTCTGATGAGCAGCAGATATCAACCGATAGGGTATCTAGTGTTAAGGTAAGTGTTACCTGTTGGCCAAAGTGCAAGAAAGTGTGCACATTGGAGCATGCCAGTTTTAGCGAGGCTTCAAATAGAAACGGACAAACTGCATTGTCCGCTTGGTTGAATATGGACTTGCCGACTAAACTGGAGTGATGCCCTGCGTTGTGTGTAAGTTGAAATTAGAAGACAAGCGAGTATCCAATTGAGATGGAAGAATGCCAAGAATGGGGGTTGAAAACAGGGGAAAACGAATTTTAAACGGAATGATAAAAATGAAAAAGCGTAAGAGGGAAATAAAAAGACGGGAAGGCTTGAGCAGTGGCATCCACGTCCATATTCACCATGCGCGATGAAGCAGATATGGCGCCGTTGATTATCCTCTGTGGCGGCTAGAGCATTTAGAATTCGAACTGTTCTCCGAGCTCAGTGGTTATTTTGCAGACGTTTCGTTGAGAGACAAGGCAGTATCATCAGTGCAGTTTCAGGGACCTGGTTCGCAGTGCCACGTAAGCGACTTCAAGGCCCGAGTGCATATTGATCGAGTTATGCTTTGAATGACAGGCTTCAGTGAATTCACGTACATGTCAGGTTTTGGCCCTTCCGAGGATGCTAGCGTGCTCCAAGTCGAACTGGTGGTTCTCGGCAACGAAACGTCTGCAAAATAACCACTCAGCTCGGAGAACAGCTCAAAATCCGCATCCAAAATCCGAGCTACGGCTATTTCCATCCATTTCATATCAAGAAATCGTTAGAAGTTCATTGTATTGCGTGGGCAGAATATTGTCAGATTGCCCAGACATAGACAGGAGAACGATTAGGGTTCTCAAATAAAGCATTGACCACAAGACAGCGAGAGTTGACCAGTGGGCTACAGATAGTTCGTTTTACGTGGAATGGAGCCAACCTAACTGCAAGCACCAATCTGGAGGGTTCGCAGACTGAATTTGCATGGCCTCTAATCATTGACTAATTTGGAGTAAGTGGCCCTGTAGGTGCAAAAAGCACAACTTAGCATAACTTAATGGATCATTGAGGCACATAAACTATCACACCCCACTAAGCTCCAGTCTCGCCGCGATGGGATAAAAGGATTATGAAAACTAAAGTATCGGGATTGGCTGTCAGAAAAGCAAAATGCGTCTAGCAAGCGGGTCTAATTTATATAGTCAGTTTGAAGGTGTGTTACGTCATCGAGTGAAAGCATACCTGATTATGAAAGCAGTGTTGCCACCCGGGCCATTGTCCATAGGTGAGCAACGATATGCGAGCAAGGAGATCGAAGAAGTAAAATATGACTCAGTTTGTTCTGTAAAGTGTCAATCGAGACACCCATAGAATAACACAAGTGATAAGATGGCAAGAAGTAAAAACGAGGGAGATTGACTGAAAGATCTGCTTGCGCATGTGCGATATCGGGTGCGTCTAACACAGCAAACCGGAGTAGACGCACGTGAGGACTAGCGCAATAACCCAGGAATGGGGACAAAGTCGTTGAACATAACCAAACCGCCAGTGAAAAAAGCAGTGATGAGAAGTAAGTGGGTAAAAAAAGCTGCTTACCATTGTCAATGGAGATTGAGTGATAGAGAAGGACGAAGAGAAACGGTACCGTGAAAGCTAGGCCGCGGATGAGACGATTCCAGTAAATGTTACCGGTTGCAGTTTGGCTGAGGAGAGGCTCGTAAATGTGGCTACACACAAGTGGCGGAAGGGAAGTAAACGAGAGGGGATGAGAGAGAGAGAGTGCGTACTGCAACTAGCACGGTTTGCTTCAACTGGAAACTAACAAACAATGATCACTTTTATAATGTGGATGAAAGAAAAGCTCTGCCCATCTACAGCAAGCACAAAAATGGAGCGAATGACAGCGTCGGCGAATGGTGCTGCACATATCTGACCTTCACGGATGACATTCCGCACTGCTTTTGGCCCGTACCACAAGGCTCAACAATCCATCAGATGATAGAGCGCAAACATACTGGACAATGTCATCTGGAGAACAGTCACAAGATTAATGCTGGGAGTTGAACGCATCCGGCACCATCGCATCGGTATCCTTTATAGAAACATAAGGCACATAGCTCTGTAAATCCTGTAACTGCGAACAGCGGAACTGTTGATTTTAGGTCAAAGAGAGCTGCAGATCATCAGCTAAATCGCTTTGAATAATGCGTCTATTTAGTAAGACTTATTAATGAAAAACTCGGTGAAGCAGAGGAAGAGAAAACCGATGTGATAGAAGATAAATTTGATTTTCAAATCAGCCTTAATCCGGTGCATTTGAGTAGGAATTATGTGGCCATCAAGGAAATAGACAGCACAAGAACGCGTAATTTAAAAAGGGATACCGTTAATTTTTGTAAAACCAAATCACTGTCACCTCCCCGCTGCGTTGCCTATTGTGTCCAAGACTTTGGTGGAGAACCCTAATCATTCTCCTGTCTAGGTCTGGGCGCCCTGGAAGCCCCACGTACAACCATGACTACTTCCTCAGGCTTCAAGTACATAGTGCATCGTCCGTCGTACAGATAATCAAGAGTCCCCTTATCTGCTGCATACAGCAGGGCGGATAAGCGAAAACATGCTACTGCAGGTGCCTTCCTTCTTCCTTTTCCACCTGTTTCCCTTACTTCCCTCATAATCTCCATTTCTCACCTTGCTTCCGTTATTCCCAGCATAACTGACAGTAGTCATAATGACACTGGATTCATACCATTTGCGTGTATCACCCCACACCACCAATTGGACGCTTACCTGTACAAATCCCTTAGAAGATCACGCTGTCCCGTTTCCCTGGCGGTGGTTAACAATAGCACTCCAAGACAAATAGGTCAACAGGCCGCACTCGTACGCACATTGGACACATTGGGTATCGAAGTGTGTTGTGTGTCCGAAACTAGGATCAGTGATCTTTACGCGGTTGTTGAATTAAGTGCGCCCGGTTTGTCCTCTCAATATTGGCTGCAAATATCCGGAGACGCTGATGCGGCAACCACTATTAAAGCCAGGGTGCGCAAGATTCTCACCTCCATGGCCGAGTCATTGTTGGTTGACTGGATTCCCGCGAACAGCCGTTTGTGGGAATCCCGTTCGACGACAACAATTAAGCTTGAGTGACGAATGTAGCGCAAGACTGTTTGTGATTTCTGCTTATGCTCTACCGAACGCAAACACCTTCCACCGCGAACTGAAGACGTTCCTTCTCAGTAGTACCGATTCAGATCTCATAGTCCTTGCAAGGGATAATAATGTGCAAGTATGTCGTCTGAGCTCTTCAGAAGCTCTAGTAGGAGTAAGTCCAACTGTACGAACAATAGCCAGCGTATGTTGTAACTCTGCGGAGCACCGGCTGAGCACCGCATTGAGACACTGAGGGCGCACAAGTGTCAATAGTCATCCCGCTATAACTGGCCAGCGATGGACCCAAATAGATCACGTTGCCATAAGTTACAGATGCTGTGGTTAAAACAGGATGGAATACTAGGGTCGACTCTGAGCACGCCTTAGTTCGTTAGTTTTCGATAAACTTTACTGGGAGACGCACCAAACGCCGCCGTCGATTGGTGACTGACAAGGTATCTCAGTCCCCCGTCAGGCAAGCTCTCGATTCTTAATGAAATTGAGCTTAATTGGAATAGGATGGGCATGAGACATTCAGAAACAACAAGGGTGCCATGATTCACAGTAAGGAACACGAGTGGCCCGTTGGGTGGAGTACTTTCGAAAGCAGTTCAGTTGGCCCCCTGCTTTTGGAAATCTTACGCAGGTGATGCAGGGCGAGAAATAGCCGGTTAGTTCAGAGTCTCCATCAGAGGCTGGGATCCGGAACGCGATCACAGCCTTCAAGATGCTGGCCAGGAGTCCCTCGCAACTGCAGTACGTAAGGATGGTGGTGAGAACACACACAAGGGAGTGATCTCACTATTCAAACAGTTATGGAAGGAAGATCTCATCCCAGGTACCTAGAATAAATCAATGGTTGTGGCAATACACAACAAGGACAGTCGTACTGACTGTTAGCCAGCATGGGTATTAGCCTAACACTAGTTGAGACAAACTTGCTAGCCATGATTCTCGTCCGTCCCCGCCCCCCCCCCCACTGCGAAACGGGAATCCCAGACTAAGGAAGAGCAGACAGGCTTCCGCCCAGATGGTCGTATGGACCACATATTCACTCTGCGACAGGTGCTAGAGCAGCACCACACCTACGGCAGACCGACAATAACTGTGTATTTCGATCTCTAAAGTGTGTTCGACACAGTTGATCGATCCATTTTATTTGAATTACTTGCGCGGAAGGGTGTTCCCATGAAACATGTGAACATCCTACGTGCTCTATACTCGAACGCTACAGGCCGCGTCAGGTTCTACAGTGAGTTCTCGGATCCTACCAACAAGTGGCGTTCGTCAGGGTTGCTCAATTTCCTAGTTTTTATTCATGTTCGTCACGGACTCTATAATGGAGTGTTCCCTTGCGGAATCTCACGATGTAGGCGTCGAGGTCCTGCCTGATTAAAGGTTAGTTGATCTTGATTATGCGGACGATATCGTCTTGCTATTGTACGACGCTGATGCAAACCAGTCAATCCTTCCAGAGTGGTCCCATTAATTGTTATGGGATTCGCACCCAGAAATTGCAAAGTGTTGTTGCCGGACCTAGGGCCACTTGACCCTAAATAACGAGGAACTCGAGGTAATTGATTTATTCGCTTACCTTGGCAGCTGCATCAACAACGATGGGCGCATAACCAGTGAAGTCAGTTCAAGTATTGCAAAGGCTGGAACTGCTAGGTTGAATCTGCAGCATCTGCGGCATCAGAAATGGGTTTCTATCGGTCTGAAATGCCGCATTTACAAGGTCATAGTGAGGTCCGTCCTATAGGATTGAGACTTGGCCCCTACGATCTGAGGAGCCTTCAAGTCTTTGGATAATATTGTCTGCGAAGCATCCTTGGTGTCGGATGGTACCTACGTGTACGCAACAATGATGTGCGAAGGCGAGTGATAAGCAGTGATAATCCGGCGGATTTCTTTAAATAACATATAGCACTGAGTAATTCTCGTTGGCCTAGACACGTACTACGCATGTCTGGTCACCGCTTACCGAGGAGGGCCTTGGTATGTTTGCCAGAGGTAGGATGCCGCAAGATTCAAGCTGAGTAAACGTTGACTTGGGAGAGAGAAATGAAGTCACTAAGTACAAAACTTGGTGCTATTTGTCAGTCTCGCCTTCCAGGCTGGTGTCCACGTGACCCGGCTTGTGCTCGACTGGAGACGTTACAGGATATGGCTCGCATCCGGCACCAGTGGCGTGACTGCTGTCGTCACCTAGTTGGACTGCTTAGTTAAAGTGTGTTTAGTTCTGAGTTACGTGTGGGGTAATGGCTGAATATGACCAGGGGCAGTAAAAGGCACAAGGAAATTGTTTAGCTGATGTCGCCTTATCTTTGCGCGATAGCCAGCTGTTTGTGACGGTATAGACGCCTTGACACTAAATTTTTGCTTAGGGCATTAAGATTTTATTCTAGGTCGCTCTTCTCTTTCTGTGATTAACCTTCATTCCTTACGTCCCTGTGGTTTTAAATCAGCGAACCATCAGTTCAAATGGCTGATGCACCGTTGTCGATGATAACAGCTTAGTTTAAGCATAAAATCTGCAAATTATTAGCAACGAACGAGGAGTAAGGCAAATGGATGATGATTGTGCCACATTGCATTCAGGCTAATGGGATCCCACTTTTACAAGCAGTGGAGGTTACGGTAAGTGATTCTCGTGATCCTGAGGGTCATTTACGTGGAGCCAGGTTCCCACAATCTCCTTATCGAGCTTCGCGTATTTCATGTGTGTGTGGGTGCAGCTGTGGGATTATTGGAACAGCGTAGACTTATGACTCCACTACACTTGCCTAGCTGCAAGTAACGACGGAAATGAGCGAGGAGAGGACCCGTCCTCGAAGCATCGACGGTGCAAGCGAACGTGATCGTTGACGTGAAAACCACTCATGAAGCTGCTTAAGTTGTCGGCGTTAACGAGAGCATGGGGATAAACGTCATCAATGCTAGTACCATTACTCAGTACAAATATGGAGGGAACAACAGAGAGAATCGGACTCTTGATGTGTTGCAGCACAACGAGATCGTTGAACGACATGTGGAGAACAATTTGGTGCAGACAGCAGCGGCTGAACGAGATGCACCTTTAAGTGTCTACGGCCTTCGAAGCCTTCAGAAAGATAAAGATCACACACAAGAAGTGCCAATACGAACTAGACCTCGTCAAAAATGCCGTGATGACCGCAATCTTATGCTTTCGACTTCTGGGTATGCGCAGCCAATGATAAAGAGAAGTCCGTCTTCCTGTTAATGTGCTAGTTTCATTTTGAAGTGAGCATTTATCAAACCACGCTACCGGGTTTATCATGTAAAAGTAGGGTGTCAGAAACTTAAGCCAATGATCTCCTTAAACCAGGTATGTCTAAAGTCCGGCCCGTGGCCTCATCATGAAGTAATAAATTAAAGGTCGCATTTGTGACGTACAGTATACATATATATACACATATATTTATATAGATTACAAAAGATTAAAAGTTCTGAGTATAGAATTCCATGTTGTCAGATAGCGGCATAAGTCAATGATGCAGTATTGTCTGTGTTGACCCCACTAGGAAAAGTCAATCTAGTACTCTTACTA